AGCACAAGTGCTGCATGCAAACACGTCACATCCATAAATATCTGCCCTGCCTTGCACAGCAATCCTTTGTTGAGGGACCCCATGCTGTAGCCGTATACCGCCCCGCACCTGCAGCAGTCCTCATGGTACGTGCGCTGGCAGCAATCACACACCAAAAACTGGCTGGAGCCGTGTGGCTTGCGCCGCCTGCCTAGCAGCCCCTTGCGCGGCCTGCGTGACAGCGGCTGCCTGCACAGCTGGCAGTTGATATTGTCCAGCCGCAGGTTACTGCCGTAGCTGCTGTCAGAGTCGGACTCGTAGCCGCCGCTGCTGCTGCTAGCGCCTGCCGCATCCTCGCTGCTGCTGCTGCTGCCAGTTGCTGTGCCGGAGTCAGTCAACCTTGCAAGATGATTTGCATCAAGGTGGGAAGGGCAGAGTGTGGTAGGGCCAGTCAGCAGTGTACAGCAGGATGGGCTTTACTGCTGCTGCTGCTGATGCTGCTGTACGAGTTCCATAATTCAATCGTTGCATTACAGTGCTTACACGTGCATGCACGTGTTGCCACCTCAATCCCACACAAGCGATACGTGCTGTGCACCTGCTACAGACCCGTGCTGCGCAGCTGCTACAGGTGATGAGGTGTCAGCGGAGCGCCACCAGCATAAAACCACAATCATGCCTCCTGAAGATCGATGCATATCACATGCTTCTCACAACGCTGCTTCATGTACTGTTAGTGGGCTCCAAGAGCTGCAGCACAATCTGTGAGACTAAACATGACCCTGCAAACCTGCTGAGTGAGAACAGGGGGTTTGCCGCGTGCCTTCCACTGCTGGCTGACAGGCTGGCAAATGGGGCTGTGCTGCGCCTGGTGCTCTGCACCAGTGCAAAGCGTAGCGTGCCTGCAGAGGTTCAGCAATTCCAAAAAAAGCTGAGCCAGTTCCTCTCCTGATCAGAATTGGTTGCAACAGGCTGTCTGTGTCTTACATGCAGCTGCCTGCAGAGGCATGCATGTCAGCAACTCACAGAATGCAAAAGCTACAGAATGTATACATGCCGGCGGCCATCGGTTCAAAAACTCTTGAAACTCGTGGCTCTGAATCGCACCGTTGACGCTTAGCTGCCGTTCGTCTGAAGCCGAAATGAAGGCTGCTGTTGCTGCTGCTGCTGCTCCTGGTGTGCAACAAGTGAAGTGGGCCTTTCGGAGCGAACTCATTGCTTATTGCAAAAAAATTAAAACCTTCGCAGTCTGTATACAACAGGTGAGGCACCGAGTCGATGTACACGAAGTTCGTCAGGAGAAACGGCCAGCAAGCACTGGAGCAGCACGTTCGCCAAGGGCGCAACGATCGGCAATGAATTTCCAAGGAACTAACACTGGTCAAGAATGTCGCAAAGATGAACTGGAAATGCCCGCCAAAACACAGGCGAGTGACGATGTGACTGTTACTCAACCCATCTGTCTCCCATTACTTCAGGGCTGCACACCTCCAGCCTTGGCCCGTGAGTCCCGCTGCGCACGCCTTATTGTACACCTGTAAAATGGCTCCTTCACGCAAGCAGGTCTTTGTTTGTGCCACTGGCAGCACAGTGCCTGCAGGCGCAGGAACACATGCACTGGCACTGCTGCAGTTTCCAACCGCCATGTCCTTTAAAGGTTCAAGCAGGGCTGGAGCGTCCCCTTTTGCATGGATGGGCGGCAACAGGCACGGCAATGTTCAAGTTCCACCATTGGCAAGGTGTGCTGAACAGCGATGTAGCCAGCAACTAAACGAGCAACAGTACTTGCTGCAGCAGGGTCAACCGCCGCAACAGCGCCAAGAGTCTACCAAAGAGACTGCCAGCCTACAGGAGTGCCTGCTGCTGTATACATATCTCGTATGACTCTGAACTGCGGTGCAACGCAGGATGGCCAACCGAGGGATGGTGCTGACAAGCGACGAGCTGCTGCAATCGCTGCTCTCTGACAATGTGGAGGAGCCACCAAAGCTGCCCCAGCGCAGGTGGGACGGCACCCTCGTGGCTCAAGCGTTGTAACAGACGGCTGGGGCAGGCAGGCAGCAGCAGGGACTGTGTTAGGGGTAGTAAAGAAGAAGGCTATGCTGGCTCGTCTGTGGCGGTGTAAGCTCTGCACACAGCAATCGGCGTGCGCCCCACACTGCCAAACCACCGTCACTTGCCATGTCTGTGCTGTTGGGCTTGGCTGTCTGCACTCCTTTTTGCTGCCTGCCAGGGGTCACAGTGATGAGTGGTACCAGGAGCGCTGCGTGTTCTGCTGCGGCTGCAAGGAGACCATCAACTCGCAGTTCCACAAGCGTGGCAGCAGGTGCCACGGCTGCAGGCGGTGGTTCCACACCAGCTGCATGCCGGCTGGCAGCAGCAACAGCAGCAGCTCGGCTCAGCAGCCGGGGGCAGATGGTACAGTAGGCGGCGGCAGCAGCAGCAGCTCAGCCATCACTGCTGCTGCTGGCAGCAATGCCGCAGTTGCTCAACCTGCAGGGGGGCAGGCCAGGCAGCGGCAGCCAGCTCACGCGCTGTTCTTTCATAGCGACGACTGCAAGCAGGTGGGCACCGCAGCTGCCCTCTTGTGATCAGTTGGTGTCTGGCCTGACAGGGCCTGCCTCGCTGCTGATGAGGGCAGCTGGTGGCACGGTGCAGCAGGTGCCTGTCTTGCATAGGCTGTGCATGACACCAGCATACATACAGGTGTTTGAGCTTGACAGCATGCGTATTCAAAGCAACGTCAACTGGGGTTCTTGCCCTGTTTATGTGAGCTCGCACAAACCTCAACATTCCGCGCACCACCACCCTCATCGCCCCACGTATTGCATCCCATCTGCAGGTGCACAGCAAGCTGGCAGCAGTAGCAGCCGCTGGTGAGCAGCCGCTGCCAGCGCCAGCACGCCGCGGCTTCCGGCTGCCGTGGCAGCAGCAGCAGCCGCAGCAGGAGCTGCAGCTGTGGCGGCTGCTGGACCTGTCTGAGGTGCGCCCGCTGTACAAAGATGCGCAGCGACGAGGCACGCTGTTCAAGCAGCATGCCAAGGTCCAGAAGCGCCTGGCAACGCAGCAGCTGGCTGCAGCCGCAGCCGCTGGGGGCAGCAGCGTGCAGAAAACATCAGAACAGCAGCATCAGCAGCAGCAGCAGGGTGCGGCCGGCAGGCGCGTAGTGCCGTCGCGCCTGGATGATTTCCTGGTGGTGTCTGAGCTGCTGCGGGGGCTGGGTGACACGCCCAAGGACCTGCTGGAAGACAGCTTTGCGCTCATCACACGCACTGAGAGGTAGGGCTGACGAGCTGGACGGGAATGCACAATGACGCAAACTCACATTGCTCCAGTGGGGCGCGGGGCCGATGGCAAACCTGCTACGGCTTGGTTGGTGGTCTGATGATGACAGATACGCATTGACCAACTCCTAGCAGGATATAGTACTAGCCTGCTTGCAAGCAATTAATTGTGACTTTTCTCGTCACCATATTGTGAGTCAGCAATCACACATGGCTACGGTGTCTCATCTGGTGCCGGGTTCACATGCATTGCTTCATGGCTGCTGACAGTCCTGCTGCCGCACGTGCTGTTGTATGGTTGCTGCCTGCAGTGGCCAGCCAACCTGCGCAGCGACGTTCAACATCTTCGGCGATGACCATGCACGCATGCAGGGCTTAGTGACACCACAGGTGGGCTGCACATGCAATGATGTACAGTGCACGCATGCGTGGTTGACAGCACGTTGGCATGGACACAGCATTTGAATGCATCAAGCAGGCTGGCAATAAGCCAACTACAGCAGCGGCTGTCGGCTGTGTGCTGCAACATTCATCACAATAGTGGTGAGTGTTGCTAACAGCTTGAGCACAGTGCTCCGCTGCCATTTGTGGTTTGGTGGCGCATCTGACGCACACATCGACCAGTGCTGACAGTCGCACTCTGATGCCGCGAACACTAGCTCCCATTGCACGCTGCACATGTGCGATAAGTCCACAATTGTGCAATACATTAATGCATGCCGAAGCTCTGTGTACTGCCTGGCCACTGCCGCCTTTTCCTGCAGGCTGTGCGGCGCCAGGGGCACGCTGCCAGGCTGGTGCAGCAGCTGGAGTGTGTGCTGCAGGGCGCGCGGCTGCAGCAGCTGGCTGTGGTGCTGGAGCCAGACGTGAGGCGGCCAGCTGCGGCATGTGTTTTGGTCAGGCACCTCCATGTTGCAGCATGTTTGTGCTACCTTTTACAGGCACATCATGCACCACAAAGCGTCCTTGAGCCCCGCTTTCTACCGCTGCTGCTGCATATTCTTGCAGCCACAATGGCTGCGCTGCTCCAGACATGGGGATTGCTCACACTGCACACTTGCACTGCCATTGCAAGGGAGTCCCTGTGACCTTGATCACCCTGCATTGCGCTGCAGGGCAACAAGGATGAGGTGCCGGGTGTGCCTGGCGCCGCCGCGGTGGAGCACTGGCTGCTGCGTGCGGGCTTCAAGCTGGCTGCTGCTGAGCAGGCCATGCTGTGGCGGCGCGAGCTGCCGGAGTACCACAGGAACCTGGTGGCGGGCTGCAGCCTGCTGGTGAAGCCGCTGGGCAGCAGCAAGGGCAAGCGCTGGTTCTGACAGCGAGCAGTACATGCAGCTGAGCAGCTGGGCGGTGCGCCCGGCATGGAACGTGCACGGTGCACACATGTGGAGCTCTTGGAGGGGGGGATGCTGGGTGTGTGTCACACAAAGATGCTGTGTATGTGTAACACAAAGATGCTGGGTATGTGTCGATGGATGTTGGGCCACCATGTGCTGCTTCGTGCTGTGCCAGGCTTGCTTTGGGGGCTGCGGCAAGAAGCATGGAAAATATGGCGAAGCAGCTGAGCTGCAGGCTGACGATTGTTGAACAGAACGTGTCGTCTACACAGAAGTTGGTGTGCAGGTGATGCAAAAGCAACATGCGTGCAGCAGCAGCAACTAGCGTGCAACTGATACAGCGCGTTGACACATTGACAGCGCGTTGTCAATGTGTCAACGCAAAAATGCTTGTGACTTCAGGGCCCACCGCGGTTCGAACGCGGGACCTGCTGATCTGCAGTCAGCTGCTCTACCACTGAGCTATAAACCCGAGCTGCAGCCGCACACCATCTGCCGTGTAGGCAGCGCGTGGGACTCCTCTGGACCAGTCACATGACCGCCATTGCCTCAGTTACAGCTATAGACGCAAAAGTGTTATATAACACGAAAAATAACCCGCCTTCTCCTGTAACAAGCCTCTCCGCCTTCTCCTGTAACAAGCCTCTCTCTCCGCCTTGGTAACAAGCCTCTCTCTCGCCTTCCTGAGCAAGGCGTAAAAAGGCTTGGCTTGCTTTGCCCTCTGGCCCAGCCCAGTTGCGGCCCGCGAGTCGGAAGACCGTCTAGTGCAGCTTCTTTTAATGCTGGAAGCTATATTAGATAAGAGGAGTGGCGTCCTGCAGGCCGATACTGCCTGCCTACGCAGCTACGCCGGGTCGCCGAAGAGACAGCACAGTTGACAGCCGTGCAGCGCGCAGTGGAAGCCCAGGCAGTCGGCTACAACTTCAGGAAGATGTGCTCAGCAATAGTTTAGTTGTGAGCGCTCGCTGGTACCCAAGCTGGCGCCTGGAGTTGTGTCATGGTCACAGCAGTAGGGCTACAGCAGAAGCAGGCAAGGTGCTGGTAATGCTCGAGGTGCTGCGGTGCCCTTGCAATCGCCTTTCACCACATGATGTGATTGGCTAGGCAACCCCTTGTGACTGTTGAGCGTGCTGGACTGCTGGTTCAGTGTCTGGAGTGTCCTTAAATTCCTTCTGCAGGCTGCTGCAGTTGGTGGCCTGCAGCGGCAGCCACGTGTTGCAGATGATGACCCCTGCAACTGCTGCTATGGATCAGTGGATTGCCTGCCAGTAGTGCTGTCTGGGCAGTGTACTTTATTTGGTTTGTGTCTGCTGCGCGTAGGGAGCAGCAATGTGCTTGCATTCGCATTGCTGTTCTCACATCAGCCGTTGTCAAATGCATTACGTGTCTGGGCAGCTACCTGGGGCTGTGGTGGTGCCCTTACTTGTGGCGACAGTGTAGCCATCTGGTGGAGTTGCTGCATGTAGGTAGCGGTAGGAGTGGTTTTTTTGTTTTTGTAGGTCAGCTTAGCTAGCCGCAGCGGTAGGAGTGGTTTTCTTCTTGCTTGGATGTAGTACAGCCTAGTGCTTGTCGTGCAGCAACAGCAGTGTGGTGTTGCAGCCAGGTCTCTGTAAGTGTGTATGCTTGCATGCCCTATCATGCCGTGCGCTTGCATGCTTGCTTGCCATGCCATGCTGTTCCTTGGAGGCGGCCACTCCGTTCTGCTGCAGCATTGTGGTCAATTTGCTAGGCGGGCAGTAAGGCTGCAGACTTGCTGTTCCGTCGTGATGGTGGTGGGGGACGGAGTTGGAATTGAAACCCTACCTGGCTGGTATGATACGCCAGTTCAAGAGGCTGGAATTGCCTGGCCCCCATGTGTAACAAACACAAACAAACGCCTTCCAAGCGGGCGCGGCCACGGCGGCGGCCGCAGCAGCAGCTGCCGGAGCCGCCGCTGAGCCTGTGCCTGCCGCCGCCGCGGCGTGCCAAGCGCCCAGCTGACTTCTCTGCCTCGGATTTTGCGTATTCGAGCAAGGCCGTGCAAGTCAGCCAAGGACAGCGCGCTGCAGTGGTGGCGCAGGACATGAAGGTGGCTTCAGCGGCGCCTGCGGCGCCGCGCCTTGGCCGGCCCCCGGTCCGCAAGCCCTCAGGGCACCAGGAAGCGCGCTGGAAGCTGCTACAGCAGCTGCAGTGGCAGCCTCACGACTTCCAGCTCTACCCTACCCCGCAGCAGCAGCAGCAGCAGCAGCCGCCGCCGCCGCAGCAGCAGCAACAGCAGGACAGCACTGCTGGCGCCGCGCCTCCCGGCGCGGCACCCCCCTCCCACACCGCCTAAATGCCCGGTACAACCGGGCCCCGAAGGGCTGGCATGCGTAAACACGCCCTGCGCATTGCCAGCCATAACGTGGGAGGCGTGGGCTGTGCGGGGCTCCTCGCCTGCGCAGCGCAGGCAGCAGCAGCTTGGGTGGACCTCAGGCTGCACATCGTTGCCGTGCAAGAGTGCAGATTGCAGTATGATGAGGTTGCGCAGGTGATGACGGCTCTGAATGCAGCAGCAGCTCAGCGGGCTGCTGCCACGCAGCAGCCCCATCATGCAGGGTTTGACTACAAGTACTGCATCAACACTGACCCCCTGCACCCCTACTCAGCTGGCAATCTCGTCTTGTGGCAGCGGCAGCTAGTATCCGAGGGCTCCCTGCAAGTGCTGCCTGAGGCTGATGCCGACAGGGACGCCCGCGGCCGTTTGATGGTGCTCCACTTCAAGTGGGGTGGCCATACTATCAATCTTGCTAACGTCTATTGTCCCAACGCCTCCGTGGACCGTCAGACCTACATTGCAGATACGCTGGCGCCGCTCTGGGCAGCCAATCCTGCCAACAGCATCTTCATTGGCGACTGGAACTTTGTGGATGATCCTGCTGTTGACAGACGCTGCCTGGCCGGCCAGCCCACCACGTCTGACGCCCCGTCCCGGCGGGCTTGGCAAGCAGCGGCACCTGGTGCTGCTGATGCGTACCGGTGCTTGCACCCTACGCGCCGCAGCTACACGTTCATCCATCGCAACCCGCAGATTGGACATGTAGCGCGGCTGGATCGAGCTTATGTTGGCAGCGCACTGCGCGCCAGCGTGGTGTCCTGCACCACAGCTCCCTCCGGTGTTTCGGACCACTTCCCCCTGGTGCTTGAGCTGGCTCCCCTGCAGCCCCCCAAACCCACTGGCCCTGGCCTTGCCCGTGCCCGTGTGGACTTCTGGAGCAGCCTGCCCCACCGCGCCCAGCTGAAGGCATGGGTGCTTGTCGCGCTGCAGGGAGAGCCAGCATCCGACCCTGCCCGCCTTGTCTGGTGGCCTAGCTTCAAGCAGAGGCTGCTGGCCAAGTGCCGGGAGATTCGCAAGGCATGGCGCGCTGACACGGCGCTGCCGTCCTATGCTGCTGCCCAGCAGCAAGTGCAGGATGCCCTCACCCAGCTTGGCGCAGCAGCAGGCCAGCCGCAGATCGGCACAGCCATGGCAGCGCTGACTGCTGCTCGAGCGGCGCTCCGCGCCGCGCAGCAGGCAGCTTGGACAGCCAGCGAGCGCCTGCAGCGGCAGCAGTGGCTGCACCGCGGCGAACAGCCCAACCCCTGCATCACAGAGCAGTTGCGTGCCCTGGAGCGGTCTCCTACCTCACGGAAGGTGGTTGCTCTGCGCAGCGCGGCCGGCGCATATGTGTGGGAGGGTGCAGGGCCCGCCAAGGTGGCCATCACGCAGTGGGCTGGTGTGAGTGCGCAGCCGACAGTGGACCCAGCCGCCCAGGCTGCCATCCTCGCAGCCGTCGCCAGCTTGCCTCGGCAGCCAACAGCAGCAGATGGCAGCACAACAGTTACAGAAGAAGCAGTTCTGAAGGCGCTGTCCGACTCCAAGCCCAACACGTCGCCTGGGTTGGATGGCTTGCCTGTTGCAGTTTACAAGCATTGCAAGGACCTGTTTGCGCCGGTCTTGGCGCGCGTGTTTACAGCAGTGGGCACCCTGGGGCAGACGCCAGCTGGCTTCTTGGATGGTGTGGTGATTGGCGTCTTCAAAGCTGGCGATGCTACCCTGGCTGCCAACTACCGCCCTATCACACTGCTCAACACAGACTACAGGCTCTTGGCGAGAATCCTGGCGTCCCGCCTGCAGCAAGTGCTGGACCAGGCGATCTCCCCTACCCAAACAGCGTTCATTAAACAGCGCAGGATTGGGCACAACATCATCACCGTGCAGCTGCTGCTGCATGCGCTGCCAGCAGACAGCACCGTGGTGACGGCGCTGCTGGATTTTGCCAAGGCATACGACACCTTGGACAGGCCTTTCCTGCTGTCTGTCATGAGTGCTATGGGTGTGGGGCCAGAGTTCTGCAAGTGGGTGGAACTGTTGCTTACTAACACGCATGCGTGTGCTTGCATGAATGGCTTTGTTTCCGGCATGCGCAGGTTTGATGCTGGTGTGCGGCAGGGGTGCCCCTTGTCTCCCCTGCTGTACCTGTTTGTTGGTGAAGCCCTGCTGAGGTTCTTGCAGTCGAAAGGCATTGACATCAGCGTGCAAGGCATCACATTATCAGCGACACAGTTTGCGGATGACACGCAGGTCTACCTGCAGTCACCTGCACAGGTCCCACAGTTCTTGCTACATATGCAGGTTATGGCAGCCGCGTCTGGGCAGCAGCTCAATCTGCATAAATCAAAGTTACTATTGCTAGGTGCTGCTGCGCGGCAGCAGCACACAGCGCTCTCACAGCAGCATGCAGCGGGTGTGCTGCCCTTCTGTCCTGTGCTGCAGGCCAATGTGCTGGGTGTGTGTGTGGGCTCTGACTCTCCTGTAGACTGGAGTCAGAAGCTGGCTGCAGTGGATGCCGCGCTTGCGCGGCTGTCACACATACCACAATTGTCTGTGTTTGGCAGAGGCATGGGTAGCGCAGCGTATGGTGTCAGCACCCTGTTGTATGCAGCTGAATTTTCAGATATACCGGCAGATGTTGATCGGCAGCACCTTGTTGCGTCAGTTGGGAAGTTAGTGGATAGAGGGTTGGCGCCTGCGTCAACCGAACGGCGTTTTACTGGTGTAGCTGCTCGCCTGCTGGCGGGCAGGCCAGCTGAAGGGGGTTTTGGTGCTTTGCCATGGCTTGAACACATACGTGCACGGCATGCTTGGTGGGGCGCGCAGTTTGCTACTGCGCCGCCTGACACCGAGCTGCCCTGGATCCGCATTGGGCGGGCGCTGTTGCACTCCAAGCATAAGTGGTGGGGCCCCCTGTCCCTGTTTGACAGCAGCTCAGACACGCAAACGCCTATGGACCTGCCACATGCGTTTCCCCAGCAGTCGCTCCCTCCCCCACCACTGCGCCGCATGATTGCTGGTCTTCAAGCACTGGGCCCAGTCCGTGATGTGAAGGCGCTGGCACCAGCCGCGCCCTCCCCTGTGCTGCCCCTGCCGCATCCGCAGCAGCTGTCCGACATGCAGCAGCTGCGACAGCAGTT